TTTCTCTAAAAATAAAACAAATAAAATCTTTTAAAAAATGAGTTGGACTCTCTGGTTCTCTACCTGGCACTGGTACTCACTTGCTAGGTGACCTTGAATGAATCACTTGGATAGGCTGTGTCTTTTAAATGTGTGTGTGTGTTTAAACAGATTAGATATGTGGATCATTTTAGCGTTGTGGTGAGGAAAACATGACAATCTTTCTAGAGAACATTTGAGGAAAACTCGGAGTATAAAGCCTGGCCAGCACCAGTCACTGTTCTGAACCTGGTCTGTCACCTGCACATCAGGGGTGGCACCACCACAAACACTCAGAGAGCTGAAGTCACAACGAGCTCTCCCTCTCCTCTCTGCCCTCCTGTAGCAGCCTCATCCAAGTGTCATCTGACAGGACAAAGCGCTCAGCTTCCCTGAGCCTGGATTTAAACAATTGCTCACAGCAAAACCCAGCTCTCTCCCTGGTGAGCGATTCAATTGCCAAAGCCCATTGGCCAGGATGAAGTACCCTGGGGACTGTGCCTACAGCTCAGAGGAGCCTGGACCCTCCTGCTGTGCTCTGCTTATAGCCCGAGCATCAAACACCTGTTGGTTCCCAGTTATCTCTAGGTGTCTGGGGCCAAATCCGATCTGGCTGCCGCAGAATTGTGGTTCCTCTCCAGGCTCGGCTGTATTGTTCTTTGTGGCTCCCTCTGATGAGTCACCTGTCTTGAGCTCTCGGAAGGCTCCAAAGAGTGTCAAAGGGGCACTATGACATGGCCCAGGGACTCAGCCATATCTCCATTGCCTTAGGCACCTGTCCCTGCATGTGGTTGTCAGAGACACCCACATGTCACCCAGATTGTGTTCAGTCAACAAGACACAGTTTTGTTAGCCACATACTTAAAAGACCCAAAGAACCAAAGACAAGTTCAAACTACTGAAGAAAATGAAGTGTTTTTGAAAAGCTTCCTCCAAAGCACTTAATTGATAGTACGTAGTTACACATTTTGTTCATTTAAAACTGGTTCCCACATGCTGGCGTATCCCATGAGAGCAGAAATCACAAAAATTTTCCCCTTTTGAACTTCAGAGCCCACACCCCTGGATGATATTTGGTGAAAAACACCGGCATCTTTAGAAATCCTTGTTTTCTTGATTATTAAGGAATAAAAGCAGACAAAAGAACTACAGTGATTATTATCTTCAATTTCCCTTTTTTACAAGTCCAGAAATTAAGTTCAAGAGTAACATAACTTACATAAGGTTACTTATATTAGCAGCAGAAGAGTGTGCTTCTGGAAGTTCATTCCCAGCAATTCCATTTTTCTCACTCTGTGTCCCCAGGGCTCAGGTGATTCCTGGTACATAACAGGTGTCCAGGTATGATTCCAGGGACCACAGTTTAGATGCTCTGGTCTCATAACACCAAGCTGCTGGCACACTGGACTTGTGACTTGCTTTGCTGTCACCCCCTGGCCTCAGTGCCACCCACTGTATACACTTTTGCTACAGTATTGACTGTGTTAGAACTAAACTGTTCCTGGCTCCACCAAACAACGGTATGCTCTTTTGGAAAGGCACCCTGGTCCTCCTAACACCATCGTCTGCCTGACAACACAGTGCCTGGCCCATAGCAGGAGCTCCGTCACTGTGCACTGGGGAGGGAACTGAGGGCAATTATGAGCATTTGCTGTGCACGTATCTGCAAATAGGGGTGCCACAGGTATAGTTCTTTTCACACCCTGGCCTTCCAAACTCAGCAGACACCAGAGAATCGTTAGGGATAATTAAAATCGTAGAGAATGTTTGCAAGAGCACTTGTACCATTACACCCTAAACACACATCATGTGTGCTCAAGGAGGGACAGGACGGTGCGTGAAAACGCCGAAGGAACAGGAGATGTGTGTACAGAGGAGGAAGGATTAAGATCAATGAGGCTGCTTCCTGGCTGGGAGCGCCCACTCTCCAAATGTTGTTGTTTACTGCGAGCACCGAATGCACCACACACATTCCCCAACTTTCAAAATGAGTAATTTACGGCGTCGTTTCTGCACAGGGTTAACCCAGCAGCAGAATCCTGGCAAACAGGCTGAAGACGCTGCCCGCGCCTCTGAGATGGGGTTGGCGCGGGTGCTACCACCATGAACCCTCTGGGTGAGTCACCTGGTGCACATCCTGACTACGAATATTTTAGGCATCAGGAGTCCTGCCAAGGGCACGGACTGTGAAGTCAGAGCCCACGTAGTATCATGTGTCTGCTCCTTTCTGACTAAGAGAAGTTGCTTAACCTTTGAGCTTCAGTATTTTCATCCGTAAAATGCTGCTAAACTCTGGGGCAGTCTCAGAATTCGGTGAGGTCTGCAAAGCACCCAGCAGCAAAAGGCCGTGAGAGATACAGAATAAGCGACTCCGTAATATTCTGTCTGTTGGCAGAGATTTTTAACATGTATTGAATGGATTAGCTTATCATTTAAAATAAAAAAAATTAGATCAAATGATCAAAACAATTTGACTTTCATGTGTCAGGAACCTGACACCAGTAAGTACTTAAGGAAAATTCTGGAACTTTTACTAGGATGTTATTTTGTCACTATGGAAGTGAAAATGAATCTGAAGTTGAAGTGGAAATTGAAAACAGCAATGCTCTTGTTATTTCTTACTACTAGCTCAATTAATAAGCGTCTAACGGGCATCAGAAACCGTGCTAACAGCTGTATGCCTTTCCTTCACTCCTCCTATGAGCCAGGAGCAACTTACCTGGAGGAAGACGTGGGCTCTTTGCAGCAGGTACTGTTTTTGCCGTTGTCCCCTTAGCCAGTTTTGGTGTCAGGTGCCCATGTTCAACTGTGGCCCGAAAATGTTAAAAGGAAAATTCCAGGAATAAACAATTCATAAATTTTAAATTGCAAACAGTTCGGAGATGCCCGATGAAATCCCGCGTTCTCTCACTCCCGCCCACTGGGACGGAGTGGTGTGCGAAATCTCGCGTTGTCTTGCCAGGTCCCTCCCGAAATGGGATTCGTCCCACTTTACGCCGCGCACGCTCCACGCACGCCACGTTCCCCACACGTGATGCTCCCTTGCACGTGAGTCACGTAGTAGTCACTTCTGTTATCAGGTGGTTGTCATCTTATTTTACTTACGTAGTCTTGCTGGCAATTGGGATGTGCCAAGAGAAGCTTTAAAAAGCTTTGCAACTTAGTAAGTTCTCAACTTAAGGAGGCGTTTCATTATCTAACTTCATCATATCAACAACGGTGAGTACAGTTCAATAACATTGGCAGGCAACGTTCACGTAACTTTTACTACCGTATATTATTAGCATGGTTCTTGTTTTTAGGTATTGTTAATCTCTTACCGTGCTGAATTTATAAATTAAATTTTATCACAGTTATATATGTAGAGGAAAAAACATAGTATGTATAGGGTTTGGTACGTACTATCTACTGTTTTAGGTATCCACTGGGGGTCATGGAATGTATCCCCTACAGATAAGGGGGGACTATTATATTCTGTGCAGCAGGTACTATTATCACCCCCCCATTTTAGAGATGAGGAAACTGAAGCTTGGAGACCAGCAGCTCAGGGACGAGCCCAGAACAGAACCAAAAACCAGCTCACTGACATCACACGCAGAGTGTGCACAGGTCAGGACTAAAACCCCTGTCAACCCGATTTCCCTCCAAACTTTATGGATATGTACATATATAAACATAGAATAACTCCATCACACCTGAAGTCCTGAGTCCCGGTTTTTTAAATCTCTAAGCTTTGCAACTCTTTTTGCCCAAATAAATGCTTTTTGTTCTTTATTACTGACCCATTTAAGAAACATTTTATGGGAATGGTACTATGTTCAAACCTCTATGCCAGCCAGAGTAGGGAATTTAATAATGGACAAGTTCTGATTTTTGTCTTCCAAGCAATTTACAAATAAAAAAAAGGGAGAGACAGAAATCAAATTTGGGTTCTAAGTCAGGTGTGGGCAAGGAACAGAAATGCTGAATAAGAATGCAGGCAACCTCCAGCTTCTAAATTGGAACTTTTTTGCTCTAGCGTCGGCTTCTCTGAACTCCCATCTGAGTGGTGCAGTTCGAGACAGACTTTTATGGAGGTCTGAGGCAGATGGCTGGATGGGCTGCTTTTAAATCCACAACCCCCCCACGTCTAGCCCATCAATCCAGAATGTTGTTTCTTCCCAAGATATCTCAGACACAGCTATCTTGGCAACTGAGTTGCATATCTAAGTTAAAATCGTAGGTTCAACTCCGTCGCTATCCTGCAGGTAGGCTGGCCTTTCACCTTTCCCCCTCTCTGTCTTTTAAAAATGTCAGCTTCTCATTTTCACTGTTAACAGAGTATCTTAGGAAAATCTCTTCTCACACTTCTGTACTCTCTTCCTCTGGGTTTCTGATTTCAGGGTGTCCTGGGCGGAGGCGGGTTAGAAGGGAGGGTGGGTCAGATGAATTTGCAGAGTTTCTTGCAGTGAATTTTTAACAGGGCTGCTGTGTCCCTAGGAAGTGAACTCGCTGATTTTATGTTGTTGTTTTTAGAAATTAGTATGATTGACTGTTTGTGTGTTTGACATTATTTTTAACTCCAACACTGGTTTCAGTGCGAAATGGAGGCAAACACTTCATTTCAGTGAAGGCCGTGAAATAAAGACCGTGCAGCCTAGATATAAATCTCTATGGAGTATAGTAGTAGCACATCGTCTGCTCAGTCACAGGGGTCGCGGTGAGCGTGGAACAGTGTGAAATGCAGTGATGATGGAGAAGATAAGGTGGAATAAGTGCTGCTAAGAGGGTTGCTTAGAGTAGGGGTGGGGCCTGTGCACTCACTCCTTGAGCCTCAGTGCCCAGAGCTGCTCTCGGGGAACCTGTTGCTAAGCTCAGCTCCAGGCTGAGCCCTCAGCACCTTGGAACCAAAACTATTACATGAGCCTACGTGGACTTTGCTTCCTGTTTGTTGTTTCCACCCCTCTCATTTGTTCTTTTTTTTTTTTTTTTTTAATATTCTGCCATGTCACTCACGGTTAAAAAGGCCGCCAGCCGAGGGGGAACACTCGGCCCCAGTTATACACAAACTCCTGCTCTGGTGCTGCAGCCTGCGTTTGTTTGTTCTTTATTAGAACTAATCATTTCCTATTAACCTAGCCACGATCCTTCATTTGCATACAAGAATTAACACTTTGTGGTTTTTGCCTTTTAAACCCTGCCTTTCTTTGTTCTCTTGGGAGCACAATCTAGATCGCTGCCTAAATCTGTATGTCCTGGGTTAGCAACTCTTTTTGTCCAAATAAATGCCTTTTATTCTTTGTCAATTGGAAGCATACTTATAGGGATGAGAAATATGCAAAGGGAAGTTCAGTGTTCCTGGGGCACACTTGGAGAGAGGATAATGAATAGTTCTGGGATTGAATGGGGGCCCCCAGGGCATGAAAGAAACAGTCCCACCTGGACAGGAGGAGAAGTGAATAACCATTCTGGAGAAAGGGCACCTGGGACAAAGCCCTGTCTTGACGTCGGGCAGAGGTGGCTTCAGGTAATATTGTATAGGTGGGGTGTTTAGGACTCACAGCCTTTCAGACACATTCTGCTTGCATAGCAGCTCCTTCCTCATGTCCTTCTCTCTTGCTTTGCTGCCCTTGTCTGTCCCTCCTCCCCACCCTCCCCCACAGACACACACATCTTCCCTGGTCTTCGCTGTCTCCAGCCTTCTCTGCATCTAGATGGAGAGAGAAGTTTTCAGTGTAGCAGTTCTCTGCTGATGATGTGTTTTCAATGTAGCAATTCAAAGTAGACATGTGGTTGAACCTTCAAAAGGATGTAAGCTCGAAGTCTAGAACCTTCATAAAACAAGCATTTAATCTTTTAAAAAATTATACAGTGTAACCCAAGAATAATGAGGGTACTCACTGAACTCTAACGCTGTTTTGGTAACCTTCAGAGGGCACCTGCCAGTCATTTCCGATGCACGGGAAGGTTCACTCAGAAAATGAATCAGGGGCCCAGCACTTACCCCTTCGTGCTGCGTAAAGCCTCAGTGTGCCACAGTCCCGCCTCATGGACCTTCCCTCGTTTTCCTGTTTGTGTCATATTGCCCTCCGTCCTTTTTTCCTGAGTGAGAAAGCACATTTTCTCCTCTGCCAGAGAATCCTGCCCAAGAGTTCTCATCCATCGTGTGCAGTGTGGCCAGGGAAGAAGAGAAGGGGGCGTCTGAGCAGTCAGAGTCAAGTGCAGGGCGAGCCATGTCCCTGCTGGACACACTCCCTCCGAACTGGTTCGCCCTCCTGTTTCTGCCATCCCCAGAGACCAGGGACCAGAACAAGCACAAAAACAAAACCCCAAACCCCCAAACCCTGAGAAGTACATGGGTTTGCGCTCAGGGTTCAGTAAGGGGATTATTCCTCAAAAGGTGGCTAATTTTTCTCTGGACTCAGCCCACAAGAGGAGGGACCCCTGCGCGTTAGCCCCTGAAGAATAGTATCTATTTTATTTTATAAGCTCCTGCAGCTATCTCCTCCCTGAGGAATGCATTTCGTGCCTCTTTATTCATTCTCCCCCCAATGTCAGACACACCCTGCCCTGCAGTAGGGACCACCCAGGGGTCCCTGCTTCTGCTTTCCTGTCTTTTCCCCTTCTCTGGTGCTACTTTATGACCACATCCATGAGGCTTTCCACAATCTTATTAATATTTAATATTTATTGTTAGTCTCTTGAGCCACCACAGAGACATACATTATCTCTTTGCAAGATTTAGTGTCACCCTTAGTGATTCATATTCTCAATGGTACGCTTTCTACTTAGGAAAAAAAAAAACCTTCTTCTCCAAATTAAAGCGTCCATGCCCCGCTGAAGTCCCACAGCTCAGGCAGCGGTGGGCACGAGACAATGAGGTTATTTATACTCTGTCCACCAGGGATCAAAAGTTTTTTCCCGAAACTTTTGAAACTATTTGGCTCAAATCCTGTATTTATACTTCTTTAATGTGCCCTCAAATGTAGACTTTAATTGAACCAAAAATGGAGACCAGACAGATTTAACTTTGCACAGCCTTAGAAGCAAAGTTTGCTGGGCAAGCACATATTATAAACTCAGCATCACAGAATCAACTCACCTATCAGTGGGAATGAGTGACGTTTGAGTCTTTTAGCAGTGTCCATCCACGTACCAGTGAGTACGCGCTCATAAAAAGTGATTCTTACCTGTTCAAAGATCCCATCAACCAATCTCACTTAGAAATAATGTACACTGACTTTGAGTAACATAAACCCCAAAGGCATGAGTCTGATTTATTTATTTTTAATTATTCTCCTCTGCTGATTCATTCTATAATGTTTCAAATTAGGTATTCACTTAGCTGGTGCTTTTGGCTTCAACCTCACAATAACCATCTGAGTTCACTCTATAGTATAAGCCGTTCAAAGCATCCAGGTTTGGGCTGGCAGACAGGCCCTGTTCTGATATTCACGATCTTTTCCTTGCCGTGTGACCTATAGAACACACATTTAATCTCTTTAATAATATTAGTGTATACCAAGAATGAGAACTGTACTTACTGAGCTATACCTACATTTTAGGAACTTTCAGTGGGGTACCTGCCAGTCATTTCTGATGGATGGGAAAGTTCCTACGTAAAATGAGTCAGGTGACCCTGGCCCTAGCCCTTAGCTCTGCACAAAGCCACATTATGTCCCAGCAACCTGCTATGGAGCCGCTCCTCCCACCTCATGGAGACCAGATGCAAAGCTTGGTTACTGAGTTAAATGAAAGATCAGTGTGTCCCTGGTGGTCCGAGGCGAGTGTTTTGCTACTTTAAAGAGGGATATTGTTACCATCGCTTTTCAAGAAACACCTTTTCTTTTGCAGCTGATTCTAAGCATCATTGCCCCTGCAAATATGCAGCCTATCATTTAGGAATAGCTCTGCGATGTCTTTCCTTTTATGTGCTAGTACTTCACCTGAATATGTTGGAGGTGGTTGTTGCATTTGCTCCTCCTTTTGAAGATCTTTAAGAGAAACGGCCATAACCCCAACAAGTAGACACACCTCATCTGGGTTTAAGCAAAAAAGCAGGGAGCGTGAAACAACCATCAACTTTCCTGTGTTTTTATCTTTGCTTTAGTAAGTAACACTTATTAAGTGCTTACCTATATTATTATTCCCATTTTACAGATGAAGAAACTGAGACTCCCAGTTTCAAGTGAGGTGGCCTTGTGCTATGCACACAGCTTTTAAGGGACAGATCCCGGACTCAGACAGGGCGCACTGCCTCCTGAGCTGGAGTCTGTAAGCTTTGGCCCGTCTTGCCTCCTTTTCTAATGAAAAAACTCACCCCAGCCCCTTTTGTTTTGTTCTCGCACTTGAGATTTGGTTTCTACTTCTTCAGTGTGCCCCGATTTATATGTTCCTGCCGGTCCATGCCACCTCTCTCCACCTAGCAGTGCAGTTAGGTCCCACTCCCTAGGCTTACTTCTGAGTTCCCGAGAGCTCTACCTTTCCTGCACACCCCCATAAAGTCCGGGTTCTGTGTCTATGGGGGAGGGTGGAATAAACAACACGTTTCTTATTTTTCCAAGTTCATGACCAATTGTGATATGGATACAGGCTGCAGATACAGATTGCCATTGCATTGTTTTTATTATTGAATTTTAAGAGTGCTTTGTAAATTTGGATGCCAATCACTTTTCAGGTATGTGTTTTGTAAATACTTTCTCCCATTCTGTGACTTGTCTTCTCACTTTCTTAGTTATGTCTCTTGCAGGGCATAAGGTTTTAATTTTAATGAAGTCCAATTTATCAGTTTTTTTTCTTTTATAAATTATGCTTTTGATGTTATATCTAAAAAGGCATTGCTAAGACCAAGGTCACCTAGATTTTCTCCTATTTTATCTCCCAGGAGTGTTACAGTTTTGCACTTTACATGTAGGTACATGATCCATTTTAAGTTAATGTTTGTGAGAGGTGTAAGATTTGGGACTAGATTCCTTTTTTTTTTTTTGCCTGTGGATTTTCAGTTGTTCTAGCCCCACTGGCTGGAAAAACTATCTTTACTCCATTGTTTTGCCGTTGGTCCTTTGTCAAAGATCAGTTGACTATATTTATGTGCATCTATTTCTGGGCTCTCTGTTCTATTCCACTGATCTAATTTTGTCTGTTCTTTCTCCAGTACCCTATTGTCGTGATTCCTGTAGCTTTATTCTAAGTCTCGAAGTCAGGTAGTGTCAGCCAGTTACCTGGCTCAGTTCCTCTCCTTCGATACTGTGTTAGCTATTCTGGGTCTTTTGCCTTTTCATGAAAATGTTGACGTCAGTTTGTCATCATCCACAAAATAACTTGCTGAGGTTTCGATTGGGGCTGTAGGGAATCTGTAGATCAGGTTGGGAGGAAGCACCATCTTAACGATGTTGAAGACTGTCTCCCCACTTATTTAGATACTCTTATTTCTTTTTTTTTTTCATCAGAATTCTGTGTTTTGTACATAATTTTTAGATTTACACCTAGGTATTTCTGTTTTGTTTTTGGCACTAATGCAAATGGTTTTGTGTTTTTCACTTCAAATTCCAGTTTACTATGGCATGTAAGAAAGGGATTGCTTCTGCTGTCAGATATACATGTTAAAAATTACATTTATTACTGAGTAGAGCTGGATTCGAGGCTGTGGGTACAACTCTGGGTGTTTTCAGCTGTATAGTGGGCTAGACCTTCTTGTCCATCTGCTTGGACCTGGCTGCACAGCCACAGGCAATGACCAAACCCCCCCAGGGGGTGTCATCCCAGAGAGAAGCAGGGAAGGAGTCTTGAGGACCTGCCTGCCACACGGAGAAAAAGGCCGAGAGAAGCAGAGCCAGCTTGTGCATCTGGTCAGTGGCTTCCTTCTCAGGGGTTAGCACAGGTCCAGGACCTGAGAGATGCAGAGAAGTTCAAGGGCAGAGAGAGATGAGGAAGCAATTGGAGCAGAAACTGTGTGTCAGAGAAACAGGAGACTGCAGAATGGCGATTCCCTTCGAAATTCCACGTCAGCTCCTCCAGTCTGGAAAGGGGAAAAAAAATCAAGACAAAAGGCAAAAGCTAAAAGGGGCCTCCAGAACTAATGCACTGTGTGT